CCCAGGACCCTACCCCCTACCTGTACCCTGACTGCCCAAAACTTTCTCCACTCCCCCAAAAAGCCCCCCTCGAACTCCGACCCCCCCCCGTTTCCTTGACTGCTCCCTCCAGAACCTCCCTGCCTCTTCTCCTGCCCCCTGGCCCCCTTACCCTGCTGCTCAGAACAGGGTGTTGGGCTCTGTGCGAGCCGGACACGTGGCTGAGCTCCCCAGCACAACAAAACCCGGTCCCTGGCCCTGCACAGTGCTGCCGGAGCCGGGCTGCCGGGGAGGAGGGGCTGCCGGCTCAGAACGCAGGGAGGGAGGAGGAGCTCCTCTACAGCTGCTCCGGAATCCAGCCCGTGACTTTCCTGCAGCCCTCCCAGTCGCTTGCTCTGCTCTGCCGGGGAGGGGGGAAATCCCGGACATTTTGAGTTATTTACAAATTCCCCCCCGACGCTATTTTTAGCACAAAAAGGAGGACATGTCCGGGTAAATCCGGACGAATGGTAACCCTAGCTAAAAGACAGCCTGAGCTTCAGTCTCTCTGAATAGAGAGTCTCACAAACATGGATAAGAGCAGGAAGACAGTAATTGAATATCTGGATAAGGCATTGGCTGATAGTAAAAAGGGAGCTCCTGAAGACCTGCTATTTTCCTATAAGGGGATTTTGTACCCTGCTGCTTTTTGCAACCCGAAAACTATCCAAGTTCTTGATTCTTTTGAAGCCAGGAGTGACGATGTGATCCTAGCGGCATACCCTAAAAATGGTGAATTTTGCTAGCTTGTTACAAAAAATAATGTGAAATGTTATACAGTAGTTATGAATGATTAGGCAGTATTTAATGCAATGATTATACATGGCTGCAGTTTATAGTAAATGCTGTTCATCATGAAGATACTGTATTAGGGATTGTTCAGATGAATGAGGTGAGAAGAATAATTTCGGCCATTAATGACTGTCTACTTTCTTCTCCCTTTGAATATTTACATTTTAAGTAACTATATGACCAGCATTTATCAGTTTAGAGAAAATGTTCCTTTGTGTCTCATTGTAGATCTGATTCAATGCAGATGACAAACCTTTACTAATATTTTGCATTGTGATGATGAATGAGCTGAGAAGAAAACAGCTTGACTGTCAATTTGACTGAGTTTGAAGAGCTGGTGATTTGAAAAACAATTCCTACACATATTAATTGGGCAAGTCTCAGATGGAAAAATTGGATCAAATTCAGCTGTCAGTTCTACTGCTCTAAATCTGCAAATACTCAATTGAAGCCAATGGAATGATTCCAAATTTACACAACTGAGATGTGAGAAAAAGCACAATGTGACTCACAGATATGAGGGTATCCAGATTTCAGATAACTGTGATCACAAGTGTTTCTGTCCATTTCCTCCAAATTGATTTCTTCTTTTTAGAAACCATTATTGTATATTTGGCTTTTGGTCAGGCTAGTGCTAATGGCTTACCCTGGATTGGCAAGTAGGAGCCTAGTCAGTGACAATGGTGGTGCCTGCATTTATCTGTGACATGAATTCACCCAGAGAACATGGTTTTTAATTTAGTGATTTATAACTAAATTGTTAGTCGTCAAGTAGTATGTGTTTCACAAACAGGACTATTCCTGTTTGTTGACAGATTATTTAGATCAATCATATGACACTTCTGTTCACTCATACAGCTTGTGTCATAAACAACAGCAACATACTCCTGTATCAAAGTAAGATTTCAGTTTAGTTAGCTACTATCCATGAATGTTAATGTTTTTTCTTCCACAGTAATTGATATCACACACAGGTATTTGAAACTAAATACATTCAACACTTGTTGTGACAATTTTCACTTCCGTAGTCTTTAAGCCAGTTTCTATCTTGTTTCAGGTACTAACTGGCTTGATCAAGTCTTAAATGACTTGGAAATTACAGCTGCAAAATACACAGAGGAGGAAATTAATGAGAGAATTAATATTACAAATGAATTATCTGTATTTCCACGTCTAGAATTTGGGGATCCAGAGAAATTTAAGGTCAGCATGGGATGATATTAGAAATGTTAATATGAACTGTTTGACATATCTAAGAATTGATAAAATGTAATGGCTGAATTTTACAGGCTATGGAGGACTCTTATCTCCCCCAAGATGTGATCAGGTCAGCACAATCAGGGTGCAGTGCATTTGGTTAGCCAGTCTATGACTATAAACCATGGAGGTTCAGACAAGGGGTGGAGAATTCATGAAAATGACCTCCCCACCACGGGGTTTCCTTAGATTCTGATCTGTCACGCTTTTTCTCCTTTGCCCTACTACTGTCCCCATAGAGCTGACTATGTGGAGAGGAGGGATTTGAGACCCTCCACCCCAAAACAGGCAATTAGTAATGGAACTAGGGGTTGAGGGAAGATTCTGTAACCCCTCTCCCTTTCATTTTCCATTGAGTCTCCCATTCTGGTTGCTAACAGCTCCTTTTGTAACTCTCAGTCAGCACCATGGTTGATTTTCAGCCTCACGGTTTCCCAGGATTTCACTCAGCTAGAGAGACCCCTCCCCTTATTTCAGAGCTGTTAGGGGAGGCAATGGGAGAGCACTCAGACTCTGCCTTCGGAGAAAAGGGTAGTAGGGAATAGTTCTATGGCTGCTGCTCATGAGAATCTTCCCTTTTCAATCTCTGCACTGCTCCGCAGATCTAGGTGAGCCATAATGCTGTGGAAGGGCTCCACACTCAAGGTAAGATCAAGATTTGGTATTGCATTCATCTATTGCAGGAAAAGGATATTAGATAACACTGAATGGTGTTAAGGCCATTGCTCCCTCTATTTTTTTCCATCCATGTGTGGAATGAATTTTGTTATGTGCATTATATCAAATGTGTGTATGTGTGCCACCAGTAGAAACAAAAATCCTAGAAATAATATATATCTTTAAAGAGTTACCATAGGGATAATTACTCCAGCCAGGATAGGTTAGGCATTTTAGAACTCACTACTCAAAGAATAAAATTTAAGCATAAGAGAGAAATAAAAATTATGAAATGCATAGACCAGTCAAAAACTCAAATAACAACACTTTGAAAGAGGTATCAAGAAGTAACAACACCAACAACAATAATACAAATATGTGTTGGGAGGTGAGTGTGAAAGACAGAGTGTATGTGTGAGACAGAGACACACACAGTGTGGGTGTGTGAGACAGAGACACACAGTTTATTTGTGTGTGAGAGAGACAGAGACACACACATAGCGTGTGTGTGAGTGAGAGAGAGATAGAGAGACATCCGCTTTGCCCCTTTAAGTACGCTGCCCTTTTAAGTAGATTAGTACTCACCAGTCTTTGAAGCCTGCTTGTTCAGACAGAGCAGCAGCAGCTGCCAGCAAGTTCCCTCTGTCCCACTTCTGAGCCCTGTTGTGCCCCCCTGCTCTGTGGATATGGGGTACAGGGGTGGGAAAGGGAGGGGGCTCCTGGGAGCAGCTGGCCAGGGGCTCCAAGGCAGAGGGCAGGAGCAGTGCAGCAGTGGGGTGGAGGGACACCTGAAGTGTACAGCACTTGGTAGACTGCTGAGCGGCCGAGCAGATTAGAGGGAACTTAGGGGCCATAGTATTGCAGCAAATTACTTCAAAAACAAGAGCAGACTGAGGCGGCAAACACAGCAGGGTGCTAACCCTGTGTGATGAAGTGGGAATGTTCTTAATGTTTTCTCTAAATACTGTGTGGTGCCTCAGTTTCCCCTATGCATTTCTTAAGTATCTAGGTGGTGGGATAAGGGTGTGCGATTGTTGCAGAGCCCTAGAGGGCTGGAGTGTGCAAGGGTCTGCACAGAGAATGGCCTACACCCTGTCTCCTGGAAACTGATAGCCTGGGCCCCTCCCCTGCAAAGGTGCCAACTGAAGGTGTTGGAGAACAAAGAGATCAGGTGACCTCCTGTCCCGGGAAAGAGACAAAGGGAGAGGATGGGCTGGAGAGTTTTAGTTTGGAGCTGGCTGGGAAAATGGAGGGGAGGCCAGACAGACTTCCTGGCCTCCCCTGGCTCCCCAAGATGGACCTGACTGAGGGGATACTGTTGTCTGTAGCTGCAAGACCTGTCTTGGACTGTGTTCCTGTCGTCTAAATAAACCTTCTGTTTTACTGGCTGGCTGAGAGTCATGGTGAATTGCAGGAAGCCAGAGGTGCAGGGCCTTGTTTCCCCCAACTCAGTGACACCCTGGGCCCATGCACAGCTCTCCCACAGAAGACAGCAGTAGTAATCTGCCCAAGAGTGAGGGCGGGGAGGGGTGTGAAGGGAACACTGATACTTTTGGGGACACATATGGTGAAACTGAGGGACCATATCAACTATCTGGTTGGACCTGCCCCTGGGACCCTTTCCTGGCTCCTACTGCTGGCAGCACGACTGGTCCATAAATCTGGTTGGAAGCCAGAACTGCAGCAGAGATATTTAAATCTATACTTCCTCTTGATCTGTGGCTTTTCTGAGGTGTCAATGGGCAAAAATGCCCAAACATTAGGGGCAAATGTGCAGATCAATGAGTAAATAAAAAGGGATAGTGGGAGTCTGAATGAATAACAATTACTGGACAAATATTATTTTCTACATCATAAGGAGGAGTTTCATTCACTGTCAAAGACAGAGACCAACAGGAGAGAGAACTGATTAATCCTAGATGAACAACCTCTAACACCAGTACAAAGCTCACGGAATCTGCAGCTGCTGAACAGCAGATTGATATGCCACGTACACTCCCTGTAGACAGAATTTGTGTGTCCAATTATTTTATCATTCCTGTAAGTAACTGATTTTATTGCCTGAGAAAGGGGTCATATTGATGACCTCAAAGGGCCCTCTATTTAGCCAAAAAGCTCTCATAACACAAGCAATGCAAAAAGCTTCATGCTGTCCTGTCAATGGATCTCAAACCCTGACCTAGAAGGCTCTGCTGTAGTAGTGGGGACATCATCCTGTCTCCAGGTCCATTAGATGCTCATTCAGATTATTCTGAATTGTTTTGAAAAATCCACTTCTTTCCCCCTTAGACTTTCCCATTTCCCATATTCCATCCTTCTCCACGTTTCCTTCTCTCATCCATCCAAAACACTCCCAACATCAGCTCACTAGTCTTCAAGTAATGCTCCTCCTCCCACTGCCACGTTCTCTCCTTTATTGGCAAGGGCTAACATGGGAAGTCCGTGACGGAGCTAGAAAGGGAAGAACCCAGGACTCCTGACTCCCAGTATCATGTGTTAAAATGAAATCCAAAGGGTGGTTATCAAACTGAAAAAAAAAGGTTTGGTTCAATATTTAGGTTGGCTTTTATTCTGTTTGAACTGGATTTCCCATCTCTAAGGACAATTAGGGTAGGTCTATACTTACCTCCGGGTCCAGAGGTAAGCAATTGATCTTCTGGGATCGATTTATCGCGTCTTGTCTAGACGTGATAAATCGATCCCGGAAGTGCTTGCCGTCGACGCCGGTATCGATGGGGGAGCCTGCCTGCCGCGTCTGGACCCGTGGTAAGTTCGAACTAAGGTATTTCGACTTCAGCTACGTTATTCACATAGTTGAAGTTGCGTATCTTAGTTCACACATAATAATACCATGCTCCTATATAGCTTTTTTAATTAGCAGATCTCAAAGCACTTTACAAAGGAGGTAAGTATCATTATCCCCATTTTACAGAAGGTGGAACTGAGGCACAGAATGGAGAAATGACTTGCGCACAAACACTCAGGTCTCCTGAGTACCAGTCTAGTGCTCTATCCATCTGCTTGGCCACAAAGCCACCCCTGAGATGTCAGTAAATGCACCCTTTCTGGGAGTCACTAGAGGATGCTATTGCAGAGAGGTTTGCTAGTTCTGTTTATCTGAACGTGTAAGAGTTAGGTTTTGGAGAACAGAAGTGTTTATTGTCAGCCGTTAGATAACACTGCTCTACAGCCAAAATGCTTCTGAAATAAATGTAGTCAAACTTTACTAATT